CACACCCAAATCACTGCGGCAACCACAGCAGGGGTGGGATACAACAGGGTTAACTACCGGTTCGGTTTTTACGAGCTTCCCTGCCCGCTGTGAGCTACATGCACCTGTTAATTTTCATTAGCACGCTGCGAGCCGAGAAGCAGCCTTTGAAACAGCCCTCTTTTCTTGTTTTTTTTAACTGCAGCTGTGCCTTGTTCAGCAGTTGAAGTTGAAAAATCAGGAAATAAAGATCAGGTAAGAGCCCGGGTGGACAAAAACACCAGCAGACATACAACCAGTTCTATGTCTGCTGCTCTTTAGAGCTACCGGTTCTACAGAAGTGGACAGAACCGGTAGAAACCCAGCCCTGAACCACACCCTCAAGGACCAGCTATAAACCTCCTTTTTTCAGTGTCATAACAGCCATTAACAAGTGGTAAACGAGGACTACCAATACAACTGAACATCCCAAATAATCCCCAATAGCTATTTTTAAAAACAGGGAACCAGGCTCCCCAAATCCTAGGTTAAGAGCTGAATCTGGTTAATACATGGATGGGGCACCACCAGGAAATCCCGTTTGGACCCGGAAGTTAAAAAAAAAACAACAACCCAGAAGCCAGTGGTGGCAGATTGGTTCCATATTGTAGCCAAGAAAACAACATGTCCATAAAATCACAAGAACTCAATTCTACCTTGAAGGAGACTTTTTAAATCTCCCAACCCACAGAAAATTGCAGGCACCAGTTTTAAAGCCTGCAGCACCAGTGGAATAAAATCTGGGGTGGAAAGGAATATTGTAGCAGCTTTTCTGCTTTTACACCAAGGAGCAAACCGGCTTGCTCCTCCGACCTATCCTCAACTCACCTTCCAGCTGTTGTTGCGACCCTGGGAAGAACAAGAGTGCCACCTTGCATACCATCCTTCTCCCAGGGATGAGCAGGAACAGGAAGTTCCTCTGGTCTTCTCTACTCCGGCATCCGCTCTAGTAATTTAATACTTGATGGTTTCAATTCCTTTTAACTCAAGTTACCGTTGGGCCGCTGCACTGGATTGACACCTATCTAGGCGCGCGCGTTGATCACTTGTACAGCGCCATCTAGGGACAGGTGGCTGAAAAACACGTTCTTCCGATCTCTTCCCCTCCCCCCACCCCCCGGGGCTCAGTTTGAAACGGTTTTTTTTTTGTTTTTAATGTGCCAGCCAATTGTTTTCCATCCCCACCGATCACATCGATAGATTTTTCTCCACGACGATCTGCCCCTAACCCTTGTCTATAGTTGGATATACGAATCTAACCTAAGAGTCGTTTGTTGAGATGGGAGGCTATAGAAATCAAATAAATGAATGAACAACCAATATATGCAAAGTGCACTGCAAATGTCAAGAAAGTTTCCCCAGTTTGAATTTGCAGGAGTACAACTCCCATCACCCACAGTCAGCACCACTTTAGACTTATTGGAATGACACACAGAACCAATTTTTAGTGCAATTTATCTAAACTAGGTCTAATGAAATTGTCAAGGAGGGGGAAAACTCACAAAAGTAAAAATCCATGTCTTCTATTACTGACCAGTGTTGGAAGAAATATCCTTCTGGGTTCAGTTCCAAGTGGGGAAAAAGACACTGGAAACATGGAAGCCGCTTGGAAAGATGGTTTATTGGTGACCAGGACCACATGACTTGGAGATCCTGGGTGAAAAGGGAAGAGATGCTGAGAATCCTTGGGTTTTATGCCCTCTCTGGACTTTGAACATCCTGGGGCACAGGAAGAATATCCTGACTGGTTGCTGTCAGAGGTAATAGCTAGCTTTGTAGGTTGTCTGTATACTAAATTTGGTTGAAACTTGGTAGGTGGTACAATGAAGGGCAATTAATTGGCTCTGCCTGAAGGAGGTAGTTCTTTGTTATGTAAAATAGACTGGCCCAGGCCCTAATCACCCATTAACAAAGGTGTGGGAGGGCTGAGTTTCTACTTCTGTTTCAGGGGAAATATTCTGCCCCCCCCCCCTTTTTTTAGCATATCCTAAAATATTTCATTTTTCTAGGAGAGGAGTGGGTTTTAACTTCCAACACCAGCCCACAAGACCTACACCACATTGGGCGTGTCTAAATTACTGTTGGCATCTCCGGAGGTGCCATCCTTTGAGTTAAATCTGAAAGAACATTAGGGAGGAAAGTTAAACACCAAAAGACGGAGTAGTATGTAAGAAATACAATACATCCTGGTCTTCTTGATGAGCTGAGATATGGACCCAGGGGGAGAAAAAAAAGATTTTGGGTCAAGGAGAATTCATTTAACATCTTTATTTTAATTCAAGAAGTAGTTGTTGCAAACTATTGACTGCAGACGTTATTCCAGAGCTTTTAGCACCTTCAAATCCAGTCCCAATTTTCTCTCCATCTCCCTTTAGGAATAATGTTCTTCCTTTCTATTTTTAATATGGTCTAGTATAAAAAGAAAAAATCCTACAAGGAGATATCCCATGTTTTCCTAGCATATACAGGTAGCCCTTGACTTATAACACTTCCTTTAGTGACTGTTTGAAGTTACAACACTGAAAAAGTGAATTATGACCATTTTTCACGCTTATGACTGTTGCAGCATCCCCATGGCGATGTGATCAAAATTCAGATAGCAATAGCAATAACACTTAAGAGTTATGTACCTCTTCACAGTGCTCCACAGCCCTCTCTAAGCAGTTTAAGGAGTCAGCAAATTGCCTCCAACAATCTGGATCCTCATTTTACCAACCTCGGAAGGATGGAAGGCTGAGTCAACTTTGAGCCAGTGAGACCTGAACTGCCAAACTGCTGGCAGCCGCCAGTCAGCAGAAGTAGCCTGTCCTAACTTGTATTCTAATCTCTTTGTGGCTCTGTTGCTTGGCAATTGGCTCATATTTATGACAGTTGCAGTGTCCCAATGTCATGTGATCACGTTTTGGTGATTTGACAAGCAAAGTCAAAGCCGGGTTCACTTAACAACCGTGTTACTAATTTAACAACTGCAGTGAATCACTTAACAAGTGGGACAATGAAAGTCGTAAAATGGGGCAAAACTCCACTTAAATTTCTCACTTAGCAACAAAAAGTTCTAGGCTCAATTGTGATCGTAAGTTGAGGACTACCTGTACTGTAGCTACTGATAGTCCTTAATTTATGACTGATTGCTTAGCAACCACTTCAAAGTTCAGATGGACCTCCGCAAGACGACTTATGATCCAGATTCAAAGTTCTAACACAGGGCTCTTCAAACTTGACAGCTTTAAGACTTGTGGACTTCAACTCCCAGAATTCCTCCTCTAGTCATGTTAGCTCAGGAATTCTGGGAGTTGAGGTCCACAAATCTTAAACTGCCCAAGTTTGGAGATCCTTGTTCTAACAAATCACCCCCCAATTAACATGATCCCATTTTGGGCACTTGGCAACCAGCTCATATTTATGATTGTTTGCAGTGTCCCAGAGGTCACATAACTAGAATTTTTTTTTTCATCAAAAACCAGCTTCTACTTCTGGTTTCCAGCAAAAAACAACAACACCCATTACAGTCAACGGATTTGTTTTATAGCAGAAGATTTAATTTAACAACCTCAGCAGAAAAGGTTGTGGAGTCAGGTGTGGTTACCTGACATTCTGCTTAAAGACCTGATTTACAATGGTAATTCTGGGCTCAATTAACAGTCGTTAAGTCAAAGACTGCCTGTAACTGTCATTCTAATATGTTCTCATCTAAACTTACCAATTCATGCAATTTCCTTTAGGCTACCTTTTCTATCTATATAGACATATGGAAATGGCTTGAAGATCTAGTTTTCAGAAAGCAGGGAAACAACTGTTACTAGACTAAGTGGAACTTGCCTCTCAAAACACAGGTGAGGAAGTTGGGTTTATTAAAATTTAATTTCAATCAATCAGAATAGAGCTTGGAAGTCTTCAAGTTCGGCCGCACCAGGTCAAGCAATAGACGCTATACTATTTCAGATAGGTGACTGTCCTGTCTCTTCTTAACAACCTCCAGCGATGAAGCTCCCCCAACTTCTGAAGGCAAAGCTGTTCCACTGGTTAATTGTCCTCGCTGTTAGGAAGTTTCTCCTTAGTTCCAGGTTGCTTCTGTCCTTCATTAGTTCCTATCTATTGTTTCTTGTCCTGCCTCTCTGGTGCTTTGGAAAATAAGTTGACCCCCTCTTCTTTGTGGCAGCCCCTCAAATACTGGAATAATTTAATGGAAGGAGTTTTCTAATATTGAGACCTCTATTCAGCTCTACAATCCCATTATTATCTTGAGTGACCCAGCCATTTCCCTGACAGTTGGGACTGAGGACCTGTACAATTCCAGACCCTGCTGGACTCTATTCCCCATCATGCTTGATATTCACTGTCTGAGGCGAATGATAGTGAAAACACAGCAACAACTGGAGAGGCCAGGTTTCCCCATCTCAGCTCTACTGGAAGAATTTGCAAAGGCGGGAAAAGAGAAAACATCCTTGGCATGAATTCTTCCATTCGGTTTGGTTTCGGGTTGAAAATTTTACTAGCCTTCTTTTGAACATGAATGAGAGATCAGACATGGGATTGAATTTAAAAAAAAACCCTTAAGTGTATAGAACAGAGGTCTTCAAAACTTGACAGCTTTTAAGACTTGTGGACTTCAACTCCCAGAATTCCTCCTCCAGTCGTTAGCTCAGAAATTCTGGGAGTTGAAGTCCACAAGTCTTAAACTTGCCAAGTTTGAAGATCCTTGGTATAGAAGAAGCACCTCAGGGAGATTGCTAATTTAGCTCCTTGACATGCTACTTTTCAGTGAGCATTGAGATTTAGAATTATTTTATGGAAAAACCTCCGTGTGACCTCTCCTGCTAGGATCAGTTTTACCAATCTATTATTCGTAAGAGCTAAGGCCACTGTTCCCTTGCCAGAGGGCATTTGGGCCTAGTGAGAATTGATGTTCTACTACTAAATTGCCCAATACAAAGCATTTCCCTGGGCTGAGTAATACATCCTGCACTGCACCTTCACAAGATTTATTCCTGAGTGGTTTCAGCAGGCAGGATTGTGACGTTTCCAGGCGGTAACCTCGTGCGAGCCATAAAGGAAGCCCCCACAGCCTGTGTGTTAATCACAGTTTTGTCCTGCATTGATTCGCTTGGGTTTAAGAAAATAAGGTCCTGAACTGAGGATTCTTCAACAGTCTGAGAGTACAGGCTCAGTCCGTTGTGAGTCCTACTATGTCGAACAAGGTGTGACCTGCGGTTGAAACTTTTCCCACAGTCCGTGCAACAGTATGGCTTTTCTCCCGTGTGAATTCTTTTGTGCCGAGTGAAGTGAGACTGCCAGTTGAAACTCTTTCCACATTCGGGACATTTAAACAATTTCTCCTCCTTCTGGAAAAGCGAAGGGTCACTGTAATTTTTCTCGCCGTCCAGGCAGGCAATAGGTCGGCCTCCTGAAAGGACCACCTGCCGTGTGTTCATGATGCTTTTAAACAACGGGCTACAAGTGTAGCTGGTCTCTCTATCCAAACATGGAAACAGGGCTTCTTCTGCCTGGGCGCCTTCTTGTGGATTGACTCCAGTGATGAGGAGTGAACAATGGCCGTAGCTTGTCTCACTGCTGGGCCATTCATAGAGCTGGTCACCTACGTGTGTAGGCCTGCTGGGGTTCAGCCCTGCGATAAAAATCGAACTATGGCTGTAGTCTTTTTCATTTTCTGAGCCCGGATACGCCTGGCCCTCTGCGTAGGTCTGCTGGTGGGAACTCAGCCCTGCAATAAAGAGTGAGCTGCTGTCATAGACTGTCCTGCTATGGAGCCCTCCAGGTGGCAGGTCAGCTACATGGGTTGCCTCGTGGGTGCTGAGGTGTGATTTGCGATTGAAGCACTTCCCGCAGGACGAGCATTTGTACGGCTTCTCTCCGGTGTGGATCCTTTCGTGCCGCAGGAGTTCAGAGGTCTGGCTGAAACTTTTCCCACAGTCTGAACATGAGTAGGGTTTCTCTCCCGTGTGGACCCTTTCGTGCCGCATCAGTTTTGACGACTGGTTGAAACTTTTCCCACAGCTCAGGCAGGTGTAGGATTTCACCCCTCGGTGTGTGGTCTCGTGCCGAAGCAGGTTGGATCTGATGCTGAAGATCCTCCCGCACTCCCCACACCCATACAGTTCCTTCTCCGCGTGGGTCCTCTGGTGCCTGTTCAGTTTGGATTTCTCGATGAAGCTCTTCTCACACTTGGTGCATTTATACGGCCTTTCCCCAGTGTGGGTTCGCTTGTGCGTCACCAAATGCGACTTCCAGTTGAAGCTTTCTCCACAGACGGGGCAGATGAATGGCGTCTCTCCGGTGTGCAGCCGCTTATGCGCCAGAAGAGATGAACTTTGGGTGAAGCATTTCCCGCAGTCCACGCAGGAGTAGGGTTTCTCCCCCGTGTGGATGTTCTCATGCCGAATGAGGGTCGAGGCATGGCTGAAGGTTTTCCCACAGTCCGAGCATTTGTACGGCCTTTCTCCCGTATGGGTGATCCCGTGTCGGATGAGGTCGGACCTGAAGCTGAAGCTCTTTCCGCAGTCGAGACAATGGTAGGGCTTTTCTCCCGAATGAGTCCTCTGGTGCCGGTTACGATTCGACCTTTCGGTGAAGCTTTTCCCACAGTGGACGCACCTATAGGGCTTCTCGCCCGTGTGGATCCGCTTATGGGCCAGGAGGTTGGAAGCCTGAGCGAACGTCTTCCCACATTCGTTACAGGTTCTTGGGATCTTGGATCTGTGCCTGGTCTTCCCAGATGCACCTTGACCCGGAGGCTGGGGGACCTGGGTATAAGCCAGAGAACTCTCTCTCCTCTTTGCTAAATGGTATTGCCGCTGCCTCTCTGGGTTGAGACGCTTCACGGCTGGTTCTCCTCCTTCCAAAAACAAGGGAACCACGTCACCCACCATGTCTGGAGGGGTTCCAATTTGTTGATTTTGCGGATAGTTTTGCCCTAGAACACCTTCCTTCCTCTCATGGATCTGCCCGTCCCCTGCTAGATAAAAACAAACAAACAAACAATGGGTACATGAAGATTAACTCAGCAGGCTGGAAAAGAAAATCATTCAAGAGGAATTAATTTTTGCTAATCTGTTTCTACCAATGTTATATTTCTGGATGTGTCCTTGGTCCCCAGGGCATTTACTGTGTGGGTCACCTTTTTTAGAACAGTCACACTGATTTTCCAAGATTGGATATCCTAGGTTGTTTTTTTTTCACTGAAGGGCCCTTGGTGCTCTCTGAGCTTACCGTAATTGTTTTTCTTGCAGATGTTTCATTAGTCAAACTACATAACATCAGCATTTTTTCATTCTATCTTTTATAGGTATTGCCACTAGTAGCTTTCATCCTGTTTTTTTAATTCCACGGAAATTTGGCTTGTTGGTTCAATAATAGATTGGTCAAAAGCTTAAATTAGGAGATGATGTGCAATCCTGTAGTTCCATGTTTCTCAAATTCCATTGTGTTAACATATGTCGACTTCAACTCCCAGAGTCCTCCGTCCAGCATAAGCTAGCTAGGGAATTCTGGGAACTGAAGTCCACACAACTTAAAGTGGCCAAAGTTGAAAATAAAATATTCCTAGTTAGTACCACCTACCATTCTCCTGCATGCCACTTTCATAGAGACTCCTTTGATCTACATCCGACAATAGTCCTTGATCATCTGGGAAATACATAGCAACTTCTTTGAAATTCACTGGCATCTGAAAGACAAAAGTCAGCATCCATTCAATCTTTGCACCATCTTGAGTTCCACTTGCCTTTAAAAGATTCAGGCCGTGGTTACAGAAACATGAATTCTCAGAAAGCTGTAGTTGCTTCATAAATCTTGCTCTGATCACTGGTCTGGCATTAAACTGTATTTTGGACTTTGAAGATCAATAGAGTTTCTTGGAGTGGGGCAGCTGTAAATCGATGCTTCCCAAACTTTGCCTTCATTCCCCAAAAACTCTTTATCGGTCTTATCAAACTAGAGGACCAATTTAAGATCCTTCCTTCAGCACCGTCATAACTTTCAGTGGTCATTGAACGCATGGTCATAACCCAAGGACTACCTGTGTAATGAAAACAGTATCATTGAAATGATCTATATATCATTTCAATAGGTTTGGAAAAAGCACCTGTGGGATTACCACGGGCAATTCATTGATTTTCATCCTAACTGAAATACTCTGGGAAATTTTAGAATAAAGTTTACTACACTTTAAATCAATTTGAATATCCCTATTGTGATGGGGTCGTTGTCATCCAGAGAAAAACCACTTTTACTTTATTTTGAGTAATTTACCCACATTTGGGCACCACTGCTATAAATCATCGTCAGAGAGCCAGTTTGGTCTATGAGTCAGGCACCAGGTTAGAAGCCAGGAGACCGTGAGTTCTAGTCCTGCCTTAGGCATGAAGGCAGGCTGGGTTTGGGCCAACCACTAGGAGACAATGAATTCTAGTTCTGTGTTTGACACCTTCAGTTATTAATCAAAATAATAAAGGTGAAATATGAATAAATAAAAAAAATCATCCTCATCATCCCTCATAGAAGTACCTCAGTAATTCCACTGCACACTTTTTTCTTTTTAAGTATTTTAGTGAAATGTAATCAATTGAAGTAACAATACAGCAATCATAATACAATAAAATGTATCTACAGTACAAAGTTTTTAAAATAAACCTAAAAGGAAAAACCCATGTAATTTTAATAGAAAATGAGCACAATCTTTTAATCTATTAAATATAGCTCAGATTGCTCAATTTCCCCCCTCCATCCCTCCAACTTTTGCTTTTTTCAAAGCCTCCAGATGCTCCTTTCTGTAAGTGGATGATGTCATTTTGGCTGCATAAAGATCTACATTTAGAGACTGAGCAATGAAACACTCCTGGTACTTAGGATAGTGCTATAGATAGCAATCTATCAAAATAAACAAAAATAAGAGAAGGAAACCTCCTATTTCAGCAAGAATGAAATTGTTCTGACCAAGGATTCCTGAGACCGTAATTAAGCACATGCTTAGTTAAAACAAACCTTGTTTTATTTCAACGCTGGGAATTATTTTCATTCCCAGCCCGTAATGAGTCCCAAACAGTCCCTTCGAGATAAGCACACACCTTTCTGTCCTTTGAATTGCTGCCAACAACTAAAGTGCAAATGAATTATATAAAACCAGCCGAAGTAGAAAGTCCACACAGAGCTTCAAGGATTAATCCAAACAGAAGGAACGACTTTGCTTCCTGCAAAGGTTTCATCACCTTTGCCTGTCCTTTATCCCTTATGGGACAATCACCTCCCAGCCTTACTCCCAAGCCGCCCCTTTTGTTTCAGCTGCTCTTGCCTTCTCACAGCTCTGCTCACATGTGCACTAGGAACAGGCTCCCCTGGGTCCTCTGTCTCACTGCTGCCAGACTCCAGAGGCTCTGGAGGCAGCACCCCACTCCCAGATGGTCCTGGCCCCATCTCTGCATCGGGCGCAGGTCCCTCGTCCAAGTCTTCTCCAGATTCCCAGACTGGTCCCCATTCTTCCCCACTGTCCGATTCCACTGCCGTCTGCACAGGCTGCTGGCGAACCATAACAGAAACCTCTTTAACTATTCCATCTTCATTCCTTTAAAGTCTATGTGCAATTGGGTTCAGTTCCCCAAAATAGCTATGGAATACGGATAATCCTCGACTTACAACAGTTCAATTAGTGCCCCACAGGTGTCTTTTTTTTTCAAGAGGCAACTGGACTTTCTTGTTTTTCTTTGAAGACGTTTCGCTTCTCATCCAAGCAGCTTCTTCCTGTATTCAGTAGCACTGCTCAGAGGTTTACAGAAAAAAATAACCCTGAAATATTGAGGTAGGTACCTGACTATTTGCCTAAAAATTTGGCTTGGAAACACACTTTGACTGACAAAAACCACCCTCTCTTTTGAATTCTACTGTATTGGTGCAGTGTTGGTGGGTTTTCAGTTCAATGTGTGAGGATGTGTGTCTGTGTTTATTTTCATGGTCATGATGTGCACTGAAGATGGTGTTTGATTTCGTTGTACGAGGTGCAATGACAATAAAGTACACCAAACTGTAATCTACCAAAACTACCAAACAAATGTTGCACTCATATTTATGACCATTGTAAACACCCCGGTGGGTCATGTGATCACAATTCAAGCAATTGGCATCAAACTTGTATTTATGACTGACTGCAATGGGCTGCAGTCCAGAGGTTACAAATTTGCAACTTTTTAGCTATTTTCATCCAAAGCTGGATTCACTTAACGACCAAATAATTTGCTTAACTGCAGTGATCCAATTTATGACCATGGTAAAAAATAGTCATAAAGCCGGGTCCACCAATCATGGGATACTCAGCTTACGACCATCTTAAGTTATGATGGAAATTCTGGTTCAGATTTGTCCATGGAGATTCTCAGTCATCCAGGTCATGGTTGTCCCAAAGGTGCTTTTTTTTTTTCTTCAAGAGGTTACTGGGCTTTCAAAGAAAAACCAGAAAGTCCAGTTGCTTCTTGAAAAAAAACAAAAAAAACACCACTTTTGGACTTTGCAAACCACCCAGATTTGTGGTTGTAAGTTGAACGCTACCTGTATTTTTTGCATGAGAAAATTTGGCTCAAAGGGAAGTTTCTCTAAATAAAGAGCATCCCACAGCAAACCATGCAACTACCTTAATTAATTCAACATTGCAGATTAATCTACCCAACTGGCCAACATCTGGATGATTTTAAATGCAGCTTGTTGCAGACATGCAAACATCCTGGGATTTCACAAGAGGTTGCCAAATTCCAGAACAAAGCTGACCCCGTTCTTGCTATCAAATTACAGTAATAAAATATCTATGGAGATTCTCCAGATCATGGCTGTCCCAAAGGTGCTTTTTTTCAAGAAGCAACTGGACTTTCTGATTTTTCTTTGAAGACCTTTCGCTTCTCATCTGAGAAGCTTCTTTAGCTCTTCAGCCCTACCATACAGTCTGAGCTGAAGAAGCTTCTTGGATGAGAAGAGAAACGTCTTCAAAGAAAAACCTGAAAGTCCAGTTGCCTGGGGTGGGGTTTGTAATAAAAGCGAATTTGAGCTTCTGAACCCAAATCCTCAAGAGGGCAATGAATTGCGAGAAGGAATTGCAAGAGAAGGAGGGGAAGGGCTGATGATGGGATATGAAGTCCTCTCCTCGTTAAGCCCCGAGACCACCTGCCCAGAGACTACACTGCCCATTCTCCAAAAGCGCTGCAGAGGAGGAAAAGAAGGAGAAAGCGCACCTCCAGGTGTGCAGATCCGGGGTGGGGGAGGGAAGAGAGAGCTTGGTTTCTTCTGGCCCAAATCCACGTGTGTGGGAAACAGGATCGAACCCCGAGACACAACAAAACAATAAACAAACTCGAGAACCGAGCCCCGATTCTCCATCGTCCGCCTAGGAAACACGAAGTAGTTTTTCTTTTTTTTTGCAGGGCGGCATCGGGGCGGCTTGTTGCGTTGCAATTTTTAAAATTGGAAGGGGGGAGGGGGAGGAAACTGACTCTGGGCAAGAAGAAGCGGAGGAAAACCCCCCACCCACCCGCTTCGTTTCGTGGCATTCCGACCCTTTTGCAAGGGAGGTTTGGTGTTTTTTTTGGGGGGGGGGTTGGAAAAGGGGAAAAGTCCGTACCGTACCTCGCTCGCGGGGATTCCCACTTCGCAGCGCTCCGCCAGGCGG